ATTTATCATTATCATCATCATCATTATTATTATTATTATTATTATTATAGTGACCGTGATCTCACTGGCTCTTAATTACATCATTCCCCCTTCATCTGACACACCCTATGATATGTCTGACATCATCAAAGCTGTTGTAGATGAGGAAGAGTTCTTCCAAATAATGCCCGACTACGCTAGGAATATAATTGTGGGATTTGCCAGGCTGAACGGACAGACAGTGGGTGTGGTTGCTAACCAACCCAACCAAAAAGCAGGTCAGTTGTTAGTGTTGTACCTCATTCATGAACATGTACAGTATAGCCTCTCTTAATGGACACTCTCTATAGCTTACACCTCCATTTAACGGACAGCACCTAGTGTACCAATTACATTCCTTACTGTATAAAATAACCTCCACATAAAGGACACCTCTGTATAACAGAGACACTTTCAAGTGTCCATTATATAGAAGCTAGTCTGTAGTTGTTGTAATTGACCAATCAGATTGCTTGATTTTAAGTTTCTTAATGACTTGCACTACCAAGTTTATCATCATCATTATTATTATTATTATTATTATTATTATTATTATTATTATTATTATTATTATTATTATTATTATTAATAGGTTGTTTGGATATTAATGCATCAGTTAAAGGTGCTCGGTTTGTTAGGTTCTGTGATGCTTTTCGTATTCCACTGATAACCTTCGTTGATGTACCGGGATTTCTACCAGGTAACCATGACTGTAGCTGTAATGATTTCTGATACATATTGATGTCCTTATGCTGTGTAGCAAGTTTGAGCTGATTCCAACTTCAATTTTTCAAGTTACGGCCATTTTAAGAAAATGCAAAAATCTGAAAAATACCCAAGGTTATAGCCCATGGTTTTTTCCAAAAAATGGCTCCGAAATCACCCCAAATTTTTATTAAATTTTCTGATGCATATTGATGTCATTATGCTGTGTAGCAAGTTTGAGCTGATTCAGACTTCAATTTTTAAAGTTATGGTCATTTTAAGAAAATGCCAAAATTTTGAAAAATACCCAAGGCTATAGTCTATGGTTTTGCAGCAATTTTTTTACAGATTCTGTAGTGATATTACTATTATCACTATAAAGTGCATCAATTTATTGGCACTAAGTTAGTCTAAAGTTGGCAAGACATGTTGCAGTTCAATAAGATTGACATGTACATGTTTCTATCACATGTACATATTCAAGCAATGGACCATTGTCATCAGTAGCCATGCAGTATCAATAATGATAAGTATATGGAGATACATCTTATAGCTAGAGTATATTCATAATTTGTGTCTGGCTATGTACAGTGTAGTACACTCAATCATTATAATTTATGGCCAGTAGCAACAGTGGCTGTATCCATCAAAAATTAAATAAAAATTGTTTTGTATGTAACTTTATTATCAGGTCTGAAATAGTCAAGATTAAATCATGTAATTATTTATTCATTGAAAGTACAGAGTCTTTCCTTCTCAGACCTTCTTTCCCTCAGCTACTTGCACTGGTAGCAGTACATAAAACCATTATCATAAAATACCATATAAGATTGTACTCCAGGGATACTACAGCAGTCATCAGACTATAATAAGATACATAATAATTATCACTGACTGTGTGTAGCTAGTGGACTAT